GACCATGCGGCTCAACATCATTCGTTCATTGTGCGCATGCCTACTACTGTCAAAGCTGCGTACGCATGCGCAGATTTTGGTCATTWTGTTGCTGAAGGAAGAAAATAACACTAACGCGATGCTGAATTTCTGACTCGCCGCTTTCGCGCGAGTAATTATTTGCAAATGAATTCTGACCGCCAACATATATCATTATAACAGGTGCATCATGGTTAATATCCCATATTTTTTGACGCTTTTTCTCGGTAAAACAGATAGTAAATCAATCGAATTATTAAATAATGAAATCTTGTTCAATAAAGGTTAGTCAAGCATAATATGCGGTTTGATAACAAAATAAAGATTTCGAAATTCCAACTATCCWATATAGATATATAGTAATATAAGTTAGCGGACAGATTTTCTTTAATTTACAGTACAACTTGTATGTACTTTATCTTAATTTATCAGAAAGTAAACACACGACTGGGAAATATTCAGAAAAGCCTTTTCTTACCGAAGTTGCTGTAGTCTCTCTGCTGCCTGTCTGTCCTGTTCATGTTCACCTAACGTCTCTCGACGGTAGAACCAAAAACTTGCGCACAGAAGACCGAACGAGATGAGAATCACGGTACACATTGCAATAATCTCCGGTAAAAACTCTTTGCTGTCTTCAGCAGGACTTACCATGACCGTGAAACGACCCGTTAAAGTACAGAAGCTGATAAAAGAAAATGTCGTTATTATCAATAAACAAACAACAGCAATCAAAAGTATCAGCAACAAACAAATGAAAAATAAGCAAGCAAAATCAAGATAAAACAAGCACAGCAGTAGCAACGAAACAACAACAACAACAACACAAAATAATGAAGAAGACAAATTTCAGCCACAAAATAGAAGCGCTGTATAGCCTATTCTTCGTTTTCACACACGTCACAGCGGCCATCTTGGAGGAACTTTAGCAAAGGATTTCTCTTTAGTGTCTATTGTTCATTCCTCCAACATGGCCGCCGGTCTTTTATCTTTTGAATCTCATGGGAATGGTTGAAAATGATCAAGCAAATTACATGGTTAAACAGAGATTTTCTCTAGTTTACTAAATGTCCGATTTACCTTACGTTTGGATCAATGACTTTAAGCGTAAATGCAAACGGTCCACTAGCAGTAAAGATAACGCGTGAAACTCCTGTACTATTGAGGATTTCATATGACTTCGAGCCGTCAAAGTTTGAGCCTTCGCCCTCAAAGCAGCTTTCATAATTCTACAAAATACGAATGAAATTGTTGTTTTAGGAATTTGACAGCCGGCATCTTTAATGAAAACAATATGGCGGCAACATTGGAAGAAAGCTAGCATTTTTGTATACAATAATTTTATTTATTTATTTATATATTTGCACACATACAGCCTTTTGCAAAAATTATGAGAATTGTTGAAATATCTAAATATCATAATATCAAGTGCATGATGGATAATCCCGCGCGATGCCCTTAGTCCCTTGTCTCTGTAGTTTAGTTTTTTTTTGCGACAGACTTATCCGTAGTTCTGAACATTTTCTCGATGTCAACAATGAATTATTCTAGCAAACCCGCGTGTTCCAGACAATATATGGATATGGATATTATGATATTTAGATATTTAGACAATTCTCATAATTTTTGCAAAAGGCTGTATAGATAAGATTACAAAAACATAACTATGAACAATTATAAGCAATCCTCGGTAGTATAGTGGTGAGTATCCCCGCCTGTCACGCGGGAGAACGGGGTTTGATTCCCCGCCGGGGAGAGGGAGTAATCTTTTTTTTCTTTTCGATCCCTTATTTGTTTCTTTTGTTTTCAATTTGCTTTTATACAATTCGTCTCATTTAGATCTTTTGCTTTCTTATTTTCAAAAAAGAAATTTAAATGTAATTCCTCGGTAGTATAGTGGTGAGTATCCCCGCCTGTCACGCGGGANAGTTTGAGCCTTCGCCCTCAAAGCAGCTTTCATAATTCTACAAAATACAATGAAATTGTTGTTTTAGTAATAATAATAATAACAATCTTTTATTAGGAAAAAACTATCACATAAGTGTGGTTTTCATAGAATTCCTAAAAAAGTAGGCGTCAGCATTGGAAGAACGCTAGCATTTTTGTATAGAATAATTTTATTTATATATTTGCACACATACAGATACGATTACAAAAACATAACCATGAACAATTATAAGCAATCCTCGGTAGTATAGTGGTGAGTATCCCCGCCCGTCACGCGGGAGACCGGGGTTCGATTCCCCGCCGGGGAGAGGATGAATTATTTCTATTTTGATTCTTTGCAAAAAATTTAAAAAAATTAAACCAGCTTCACCACAGGATCACTGAATATTCCATAACGAACTTACATTTTGATGCCACGAGGAATTTTTTGTCTCTTCGATTGACATTTTGGCCCAGTTTTGAGCTTCTTTAATGCACCCCGCCTATAAAAAAAAAAACGTATCGGCATAGTATCTTTTGACTCTAGTTTTGCCCTGTTGATATTGACGAACGTGATCAAGAGGGTGTAAGGATATTTGTTCCCTGGAGAAAGGGGCTCTCCCTACATCATAGGGCACCTTTGTTACATGTCAACGTCCCTTTACWGACCTGAGCCATTGTAGCTGTGTATGAGAATCCTTTTTGGTTATTTTCTTCCCATAAGATGTAATCCTGTGTTATCGTCATCACCCTTTGATTGACATCATACCTAGTGACGTAACACAAGATGATTAAATTAACAAACCAAAAAATAAATCAATTCAATAACAAGTGGATATATGGTGAATACACATATAACTGGAGATGGACAACAACAGCTAATGAAACGAAACTAATAGAATAACAACGAT